CTCTCGAGGCTAGCGTTGGTCGGATGGCCGGTACTGGTGTGCAGCAGCTTGACCACGCGGTCGAGCTGCACCCGCTCTGCCCGGCCCATAGCGTCGAGGACCGCCTTGGCGCGGGCAGTGACTTCCCTGTCGCGGGCCACCGGCGGACCTCGTAGCCGCGGCGAACTGCTCGCAGTGCCAAGGCGATGTCTTTTACGAGCGAGACGGTGTAGCGGCCGGTCTGGCTGCTTTCTTCCAAACACCTTCGCATGGGCATGCGTCCCGTCGCACTTCTTGTAGAGCTTATCGACGATGGGCTGGTGGTTAGTCAGGGCCTTGAATATTTTCCGAATCGGCTCCCCCGCGTTGGTCTTGATGTCGCACCGACAACCGTCAAACGCAGTTCGTAGTCCAAGAATGCCTTGAGTCTAAAAGAGCCCCTTCGGCTTAACTATACCTGTCATTCCATATGTCGCTCACGAAGGGTAGCTCGAAGCCCGTCGGAAGTGCGTGAGGTCGTAGCTCCCTCAGATTCCAAAGTATGTTGCGCAACACATTATTACTCTCCTGCTGGGCCACTCTCAAAACGAACTCGTTGGGCCGGCGTTCTGTAGTTCCAGAGCCGCTGGCACGTTCACCAATGTTCACCAGGGAGTGCATGGGGTACTGATCCAAACCACTGGTATATTGCCAAGCTTCTTCTCCTTCATGATCTCCACGAGTATGCCCTCCACGGTCCTTCTTCCGCATGCCGCGCTCAGGTAGGTGAACTCAAAAGGCTCGACCATGTCTCCCAATGGCGTTGAACTCTCTTCCTAGCAGGCTATTGGGCTCACGCGCCAGCTCGAACAGGCTGTAACTCCTTGGGCGTCCACGTCGAATAGCTGCAACTGCCTGCCCATGTGCTTGATCTGCTTGCTCGAGCTGGATCAGCTTCTTCACTTTGTTCGTGCTCACGTTGTGGTCGTGCAGCGTCTTAGCTGTGGTAATCCCGGCAAGGTTCTGCTTCTGCTGGCCTCGCTTCATGAACCGCCAGCTGGCGTTCTGAACGAGGTTCGCGTAGTCTCCCTCGGCGAAGCCAACCATGTCCACATCGCACTTGCAGCCAGGACAGAGGCCTTGCCGCTCACAGCTCGCGCGCGCGCCAGTGTCACATGAGCAAGTGAAGGTAGCTGGACTAGCACAGATACAGCAATCATGGCCTCCAAGAGGCCTGTCAAGAAATGTCACCTGCTCGATGGTCTGGGTCTCGCTGACACTGGCGACCTCCTTGACTGCCTTCGCGGCCGGGCCGAGTCCCTGACCGCAGGTTGAGGTGGCCGCCTGAGCTCCGCGCGCGAGTGCTGTGATCCTCGACGCCGTCTTGCCACCCACGGCCCGTGGTCCTCGGTCGAAGCCTCCGAGGTAACTCGTCGGTAACGCCCTTGTCCCTGGAGTGGCTGCGCAGCGCGTGGTAGGCGTCGGGGTTCAAGTCCAGCATGCAATGTCCAGTAGAACGATCCTGGAACAACTCGGCCTTATGAGGGCCCACTGTGGTCCGTCTCGGCGGTGATGTCTTGATCTCGGCATGCACGGACTCCAGGAGGGCACGCCCCAAGAGAGTTTGAGCCCCAGAATGTCCAGCAGGTGCGCCTCGATGAAGCGCGGTACCTTTGCTGCCGCCACCGGGGACCTCACCAGAGCATCATAATCCTTCGCGCCGCCCTATCCGAACTTGAAGGTCTCGTTCACGGGCTCGAAGGTCACGAGCTTGTCAAGGCCTAGCGACTTCAAGTGTCCGTAGTAGTCGCACCACCACGGCGTGCCCATCACGCTCCTGGCGCATGCCGAATCGACCGCTCCCTTCTTGTTCATCGGGGGCGGGCCAGTGACCACCGTGTTCTGAAACGCGGCAAGTGGGGGCGCCACCTCGACCGCTAGGATCTCAATCTCTTCGTCGTCGTGATCCGCTCCAACCGTCACCTGCTGAACTTCTCGTGCTCCAGGACACTCTGGGTCGCCGTCCCAATGGCCCCAACCGTCGCGCACACACACGCGGCGCTGAGAGTTCTTCCTGGCGTTTGTCAAGAGTGTCTTTGATCGGCTGGAACTTGCTCCACGTCCTGGCTTCCTGCCAGCGACGGATCGGCCTCGGCCGCGCCCCAGTCTCGGCGGCGGGGCAACCGCGGCGCCGCCAGAGCCAGAGGAGCCGCCCTTCTTTGGGCGATTGCGAGCCTGCCGTACTGTAATTAGCTAGCGCCTTGGGCAACTCCGAGAGCTGGACCGCCGCCATTTTGACCGCCTTGGCCTGGTCGTGGTCGAGCTCCTCCTCGTTGATGTCGCCGAGGTCGGTGGCCGGGGCCTCCGCCTCGCGCTACGCCTGCTTCTCGATCCCGTCATCGTCGGCCTCGTCATCCTCGAGGCCGTCGTCATCTTCGTACTCGGTCACATTGACTGCCTTGGGTGGTGGCCGTCCTTTGCCACCCTGCTGCTGATATTTCTTCTGCTCGAAGGGTCGTCTCTGCTGTGGGTGTCCACGTTCGTTGATGTGAATATCTTGAAAGGCCCGCCTCGCTGTAGTCTGCACTTCTCGCAACTGAAAGGTCTCGCTCGGCAATGCTGCAATGGGCCGCTCTCGCTGCCCCTCGTAATGTTTAGCCGCCGCATGAGAAAACGGCCCACAACTTCAGAGTCATCCGTGAGCTCGACACCATCCTCGGAAATCTTCGTCACTCCCGGGTCGGAGATTGCGATGTAATCCGAAGTCTTGGTGCCGCCCTACGCGCGTACTTTTGCGTCCCGAAGAAATCTGTCATGGCCTCTCCCTCCCTGCGCACCTTCGGCGGGCGCAGGGGCTCGAGCGCCCCCATCAGCTCACGGATGCTTCGCTCTAGGTCTGGGGGAATGCCTTCCACAGTGATCATCTCGCCTTTCTGCTTCCCCTTGCCTTCAGGTGGGTCGGCTCGCACATCTTATTGGCCTCGATGCGGCCGCAGGTTTTCGTTCTCGAGCGCCAGGGCCTTTCTGCGTGCTGCTCCCTTGAGCTTCCCGACCATTCTCGCCGCGATGCTGCGCTGCGCGCCCAGATTCAACCTTGGCGTCCATATGCGAACCTCCTCTTTGTAGGTCATCCATGACGAAGGTTTGCCGCCCCAGCCTGGAATGTCGCTGGGAGTCTATCTCTGCCAGGCTGGCGTCGCTGAGGAACAAAACGCAGGCGAGGAAGAGGACGAACAGGTAGTAGAGGAACAGGGCCAGGGTGATGGGAGGGCCCTGCGCTGAAGGAGGCCGCGCTGCGTCCAGGGCCAGAAGGCCGCCGGCGCCGCCAGCGCAGCCGCGGAATGAACCGCTCCGCTGCCACTGTCGTAGGGATATCGCTGATACTTGGATATGGATGTAATATTTTTGCTGCTTGCGTCGCTAAAACTGGTCAAAGCGCCTAAGCCCAAACGATAGCAGAAGCGTGCTTGCTACAAAACATGCTGCGTACACAATTGATCACCCACACAAGCTAGGTTGTGCAATCTATGCGTTGCAATTCGCACTGCCGAAGTTGAAATTGTCAACTCCACTGCTCGCGCAATCATCCCACCCACCCACCCGCAACTTGGTCTGCAAAACGCGCGCGGTGGCGATTGCGATGACTGCTTGGCGCTGCCTGGCGCATCGCTGCGGGCGCGCTAGCACGTGCAGGCTCGCGCGCAAAACGGCCAGCTAGTCTGGCGCGACCGACTCGGCCGCGTTGGCGCTGACCGCTGGAGAAGTCCCAGTGCGTCCTGCAGGCCGCGCTTGCGCGCGGGCACTGAAGTGCGAATCGGTGGCTCGGGAGGGCGCGGTATCATGACGACGTCGACAAAGGAAATATTAACGATTATGTTTTTGGCGATATCGGCGACGACGATGACAATGGCGACGGCAATGCCTATGACGGTGCCGATGTCGATCACGCCGGTGACGATGACGGTGCCCATGTGTCAGTGATGAAGGTTTTCGAAAGATTTCGACATGCGCGCGCGGCCGACACGCGCGATTGGCCCGCGTGGTGTCGTTTGACAAGGATCGTGCCACCCCCCTTCCGCGCACGCACGAACGTGCGTTTTCATGATGTCGATACGCAGGCGCGCGAGGGACGCTTGGTCGCATTTGATGAACATGTTGAAAGAACGTTGTTTCCATACAAATCATGTTGGACATCATGCTGGAAACAATGTTTTGCATATGGCAATGCACATGCGATTGTGGCAATCGATCTTGAAATCCATGCGGCGACCGATATGTTTGAAGGATTCCACGATGCGCGCGCGACGACGCGCGCGTGTGGACTCAAACCAATGTTTTGCAACCGATTTGTTTTTTGGGGTTTTCCAAAATTGAGGCTGTTTAATAAACGAGTGCGCGCGCAAAATATCATTCGTCAGGGATGAGGGGGCGGGTCGTGCCCGTTCTGGTTGGGATGCTTTGAATTTATGTGGAAACATATGGATGGGGCAGAGTCGTATGTAAATTGCACACCCCCTTGGGGTACGGAGTGTACGGATATTCCCGGGGTGTTGGTGGTACATGTTTTCACGCGAAAGGAGAATCTACGTGGTGCAACCCACGACGTTCGCGTAATTAATAGTTACAGCTTGCAACCGACATGCGGCGGCGAGGGGCGGCGGCGACGGGCGGCGACGGGCGGCCACAAGCCGGCCGGAGTGGCACCAAGGCCGGGCCAGGCGGCGGCGATGGGCGGCGACGGGGCGGCGACGAGCGGCGACGGGCGGCGACGAACAGCGACGGGGCGGCGACGGAACGGCTACAAGTCGGCCGGGGCGGCACCCAGTCCAGTTCCTTGCAAAAGGGGGAGAAAAACCCCCGGTGCAATCACTGTGTGCGGAATAAGAAGATAAGTGTGAGGGGTCCGCGCGGATCTCTTGGATCGGTGCCGGGGCCCCCTTGTCGCCACTCCAGGCGCCGCCCAGGGGGGGCGGTCCAGCGCCAATCCACGGAATCCGCGTGGACCTCCGAGAGTTTAGGTTTTATGCTCATGTTTCGCCCTCTGAAGGAGGAACTACCGTGGTCGGACTGGGGCGAGGACTTCTTCCTCACTCGCTGCATGGATCAGATCGGGGTGGGCAGGCTCCTCGACTTCAACCTCGTGGGCGACAACCTGTGCGTGGGCCCGGGCCAGGGCGGGGCTGGCGACTGCGACAGTGCCGAGAGGGCCGCCTTCCACCCCTTCAAGAATTTCGACGATTGGATGAACTGTTTCAACAAAGCCATCGGGCGAATTTAAACAGGTGGTCTCCGCCTTCTCAGCGGGCAATGTGACAGCGACCTCTGGTTAGCGAACTGCGCTTGCTCGGCAAGCACGGGCAACGCCCGTCGCACTAATTCGCGCGGGATTGCTACTCGGCGCTCGCATGTACCACTTATCACTCTGGTCGGGCAATGACCTGCCGTAGCGATGCATGTGCTTTGACACACCCGAATTTGCATCCGACCCTCTTCCTCGTTCATTTCGGGGGAGAAGCAGGGGCATAACCATAAACTGCCAGAGCTCCGCGCGGATTTCTTGGATCGGCGCTGGCCCCCCGCATCCTGGCGCGCAGAGCGCGTCAAGGGCAGCGCTGGAGGCTCCGCCAGGGGGCCCCAGCGCAGATCCAAGAACTCCGCACACGCCTCCGACAAATGATGTTTATGCCGCCTCTTGTTCCTCGATATCTAACTCGCCCGCTCCCTCTTTCCCCTCCGTCATTTTTCCCCTCCCCGCCTGCACGTGGCCCTCCCCCGGCCGACCGGGTCGTTTTTACAACGTGCTTGTGGCACTTTTGCGGCAGGCTCTCGCCCCCGCCCCGCCATCCACCCCAACTATCTAGCGGCGTTCTGCCCATCCCGCCACCGCGCTTGGGTGGTACATAGGTCAGAGCCTCTAGGATGCCTCTGGGGCCCTATTGTGGGCGCGCAGATTCGTTAGCTCGCGGGCACAATTCGTAATGGGGGCAGCGGTAAGTAGCGCGCGTGCGCGCCTCCGCTGCACATGCGGGGGTTGCAGGTGCGTGCGCGCCCCGACGGGACGAGTGCGCGCCGCGGCAACGCGCAGGCGAACACAGATTATGCAGGAACGTGCGGGCCCGGTGCCTTTTGCATTCTCGGTCTGGTTCGGGTTAGCCCCTGTGTCTTTCGTGCGCTTGGTTCGTGGTGTCGTGTCGCGTGGCCCCGGCTTGTCGTCCGCGTTTTTGCCTCCTGGCTTCGAGGTCGTCGCCTCCGTCGTTCGGTTCGCGTGTCGCGCCCGCGGCGGTCGGTCTCGCGCGTCTGCCCCGCCTTTCGGCGCTGGCTGTTAGCCAGTTTTCGTTATGGGCGTGCCTGCAGTCTGTTGCGGGCCGCCGCCACCTCGCGCGCGCGCGCGCGCTGGCCTTCGCCCCGCGCGCGTTCGCGGTCAGGTTCCCTTTTCCTTACCCCCCATTTCCGCAGGTGCCATGCCGATTTCCTTGTCTGTGACCTCATCTGCTCGCTGGTTGCGCTGCGCTCGCATGCCCTGGCCGGCACCGGACACGCTTATTATTGGCCGCGGACGTTGTCCAAGTGTTATCCGGTCATGCGCTGGCGCCGCAAGCTTACCATTGGCTGCTGCGGTCACGGATTCCTATGCCCTCGCTGTCGCCACGCGGGCCTATCAGTGGCCGATGCGGGCAGACGGGCCATATCGACTGACGGGCCATATCGTGCCCCTTCAAGGTCAACCCGTCTCAAGCATGCCATTGGCTCTGGTGGCATGGACTCTTTCGCCCTTGCCGCCGCCGGCTTGTTTTGACATCGGCAGGCAGGCCTACCATTGGCCACCAGGCCATCATCGCGCATGCCCGCTGTTGGCCATGGGCCACTGCGGGAAGACGGGCCATCGAGCGCCCCATCGCGGCAATGTTTCCCGAGACTATTGCAGGTTTCTGTGGACATGGGCTCGCTCGCCCTCGCTGCCGTCGCGGTGACCGACTAATAGCTTTCGCGGGCAGGTGGGCAATCTTGTGTCCCGGCAGGGTGGCCTCGCCCCACGCCGACCATCTGGTGCCCCGTCGGGGTCGAGTTATTACGGGATGCATTTGGGCCTCTGTGGCCACGTGTTCGGTCGTCCTCGTTGTGGGCGCGCAGGCCTTGTTGCGCGGCATTGCGCAGGCCCCGCCGCCGTCGTTCCCGCGGCGCCGCGGCGAAGCGCGCGCCGGCGAGGGTCGCGTTCAGCGCGCTTGACGCGCGGCGATTTGCGAGCGTTGCAACGATGGCCGCTTTGCGCGATTTTCTCGGCCGCTCCGGCGTAGCTTGCGCGAAGGACGGACCGCTTGCGGCGGCGCGCCCCAATCGGATCGGCGCCGTAGCGCGGTTGTGCGAATGGCAAGCGAACGGGGCGGTTGAGGTCGCGGGCGGGCCCGGTGGACTTGGCGCCGAGGCGCAGAGACTGAAGCCCAGTGTCAGCGCGTCCACGGAGGCCGGGCGTCGCGCCATGCGCGCGCCCGCGGTCCAGCGCGCAGCGCCAGGCCAGCTTGCGCGTCGATCTAGCCGAAGATCTCGCGAGGCGCCCGGCGCGCGCTGGATTGCCGCAGACTTACTGGCCCGCCCGGGCGCGCCTGCCAGATCGGCGCCCCGCGCGCGTGGGCCCCGCTCTGGGCCAGCAGCAAAATGACCGAGTGGTTCACTTCGAAAGCGCGGAAGTTGGAGAAACCCGCGGCGGCGCGGCCGCTTGTCTTCATCGACGCGAAGAACTGGCTTCTGGCCCGGGCGGCACTGGGCCGCGCGCATGACGCAGGCGCCCGGCCAGACGCCTCGAAGGGGGTCAGGGGTCTCGCCCGCGCCCTCGGGGCCGCCCCGGCGCGCGGCCCGAAGGAGGGCATGTTTACCACGAGCTGGGCGATTGCTTGGCAAGATGCGCTGCGCCGCGCCGCTGCCAACCACCGTCGCAGCGTTGCGAGATCGAAGGCGCAGGGCGGCGGCCGCGGCGCTCGGCCAGCTCCCGCCGCGCGCAAGCCTGCATCATCAGCAGGTCGCCCTGGCGGTGGCCAGCCAGGCCCAGGCTCGCGGCCAGCGCGCGAGCGCGCGCGCGTCGCAGCCAGGGCGCCCGCGCGTGCCTTGAGATCTTGCCGCTGCAGTTCTATGGAGCCGACGCTTTGAGCTAATTTTATCATCCATGATTAGTTTGCTCGTCCGCAGATCGCAATGTCTCAACTTCCTTATCAATGCTTCAATGTCTGTCGCAATGTTTCGATTTTCTTCGCGACGTCTCAATCAGGCCGCCAGCGGCCAGCGAATTCTGAAGAAAACCATAAGTCCTCAAATTTTCATAACGCGCTACCAAGCGGGCCTCTCGCGCGCGCGTGTCGCAGTCGTTCGAGCGCCCTGGAGCGCGTGCTGTCGCAAGAATCTTGCGCGAACCAAGCGACAAGCGCGCGTCGTCGCGCGCGCGTGCCGAAACCCTTCACAATAGCCTGAGGTTCTGGAAGGGTTTCCAGATCCAGTGCCCTGCAAACGTATATACACGCATTGTTTTGCTAAATTTGCTTGTTTCCAAGAATTCCCGTGCTCGCGGTCGCGCGAACTCTGCGGGAACCCATCCGCTCTCCAACGTGATCCTCAAATTCTGCCAAACGGGCCTCTCGCGCCGCATGTCGAGCTCATTCGAGCGCCCTCGCGCGCGTGCTGGGAGGGGCGCGGCCCGCGTCAACAAAAATACCACGCGGGCCACTCGCGCGCGTCAGCTGAGCGCGCATGTCGATCTCCTTCCAAAACCTTCATCGCGGGCGCGAGGACATCGTCCTCGTTATCGGCGGCGTGAGCAATATCGGCGCCGTCGTTGGCCTTCCCGTCGTCATCGCCACCATTGTCACCATCGTCGCTACCATCATAATCGCGTCTACCGTCGTCGGTGTCGCCATTATACCGCGCCCGCCCAAGTCACCGACTCGCACTGAAGTGCCCGCTGGTTTGCGCCCGGCGGCCAGCGCCACCGCGGCCGCGTCGGCCGCGCCAAACAAGCTGGCCGCTGCTCGCGCGAGCATGCGCGGGCCAGCGCGGCCGCAGAGGTGCGCTGGCCAACGCCAAGCACTCGTTGCATCTGCCGCCGCATGGGTTTTGCGAATCAAGTTGCGGGCGGGTGGGCGGGATGTTTGCAGGGGCGTAGAAATTGCCAACTCATACGCAAGAATCAACTGCGCCACATAGGTTCTCCATTCTATGAGGGCATTCGGATCTGCCCCCCCAGGACTTATCGGGCCCCCTTTGGATGGGCAGTGTACATTTGATTCTGCCCCATCGTCCATCCTAAATGTGACTTCGTATCATCCCAGCTAAACAGGTACCCCCTCGTCTTCCGGAAAAAGTTCGCGCGCGCGCATTCGTCTATCAAGAATCACCAGATTTCGAGAATCCCTTGCGCAACGTGGAGGAGGTGCGCGCGCGCATCGTCGCGCGCGTGCGCCGAAATCATTTCGAAACCTTCGCCGTCGCAAGGATTTCAAGGTCGGGCGTCGCGAAAACGCATGCACAATCACGCGGTTTCGCAATTCAGATTTAGACAGCAAGCTTAAGCTTGCGCTCTTGCTCTTGCAGATCATTAAGAGAATCGTCGGCTTGCAAACTTGTCATAACATGCTGCCAACAGCTCGCGCGCGAATGTCCACATCGTTCGAACGCAATGGCGCGCGTGCTGTCGCAATAATCCTTGGCAAACAATTCGACGAAGTGTACGCGCGCGCGTCGTCGCGCACGCGTGCCGCAATCCCTCAACAACATGAAGGTTCGCAAGGACTTCAGGAACGAATGCCCCGGAAAAAATATCAACACACATGGTTTTGCAACATCAGCCTTCAACAAAAATATCCTGCGCGCGCGTTCTTGCGAATTCTGAAGAAATCCATCCGTTTTCCAACATTGCCATTCCAATCGGCCAAACGGCCCTCTCGCGCCGCATGTCGCGCCCATCCGAGCGCCACTGCGCGCGCACAGGAAGGGTGGGGGGGGGTGGGGAGGGACACGATTTGTGTCAAATAATAGCACGTGGGCCTCTCGCGCGCGTCGACCGCGCGATTAACATCGGCGCCGTCATTGGCCTTGCAGTCGTCATCGTTGCCATTGTCACCATTATCGCTACGCTCGTCACCCTATCGACCGTTGTCGGCAACGCCACGATACCGCGCGCGCGCCCGCCCAAACCGCCGACTCGCAATGAAGTGCCCGCTGGGAAGTGCCCAACGGCCAGCGCCACCGCGACCGCGCCTGTCGCGCCGCATTAGCAGGCCGCTGCTCGCGCAAGCATGCGCGGGCAAGCGCGGCCGCAAAGATGCACCAGCCAACGCCAAGCACTCATCGTAATCGCCGCCGCGTGGGTTTTGCAAACCAAGTTGCGGGTGGGTGGGCGGGGTGATTGCGCGAGCAATGGAATGGACAAGTCATTTGCGAGCTCTGATGACTTGCACCACGTCAATTGCACCACGCACGCTGTTCCGCAAATGTTGCACAGCATACGCTTGCACACCATAGTGTGCACTACGTAGTTTGCACCACATCGGTTGCACAGCATAGATTGCTATAGACACAGCACGGGGCCCACGCTGGCTGCCCATATAATTATGAAGAGCTGAGCACAGCATACAGGAAACGCTAGAGCACAGCATATAGGAAATGCATTCCCCACATGGGGGCTAGGCTACCCATATAATTATTAAGAGCTGAACACATCATAGAATTATTAAGAGCTGGGCACAGCATACAGGAAGCGCTGGAAGATGGGGAGCATCCCACTTCGAGCCTCGAGGCACGATGGCGGATGTCTGCTACCGGTAAATGCACGTGTCGCCCGATCGCCATTTGATTTTTTTTGCGACTGCAGAGCAGTAGCGATGAGGCGTATTGGGCAAAGGTGCTAAGCGAGCCACACACATGAGCTCGTCGACCATGTCCGCGTGCCGTTTCCTGAGGAGGGCGCATCCGCGTGGATTCGCGCGCAGCTTTCTTTGGGCGCCCTGCCACTTCGTGGAGGGACCTGGCAGAAACAACAGTCTTGCATTACCACTCTGCGCAGTTGACCCGACATCGCCAGGCCTGGTTTCAAAGCGTGCCAAGCTGGGTCAAAAATCATTGTATCACTTGTTCTCCACTTGGACGGCGCAGGGCGAAGGATGTTTCTCCTTCCCCCCTCCTTCTCCTCCTCCTCCTCCTTTTTTTTTCTCCCCCGTGTTCCCTTCCTCGTCCCACTTCCCTCGTCTTGCCTTCCGCCTCCTCCCCCCTCCTCCCTGACTCCACCACCCATCCCCTGGTGGAGCGGAACCAATACCGCTGCTTTGCGGAGCTCTCGCAGGGGTGCGTGTTTTTCGGGGGCAGGCAAACGGGTGGCAATGACAAAGGGGGGGGGGGATGTCATGGCTGAAGCCATAGCATCGCCCAGGTTTCATGGCCCTCTCTTTTCCCTTCAATGCGTCCCTCGTTGGGCCGCGCACGGGGTTGTGGCCGCGATTTGCGAAACCCCTTCACCACCCTCTTGGGCGGTGGTTCAAAGGTGGGGTCCTGAGGGATGGGGGTCCTAAGGACGAGGTGCTTCGAACCATGTAAAGCCACCCTTCGATCCCTTCCTATCCTGGGGCCCTATCCCTCAGGACCCATCTTTGAACCACCGACTGGATGCCCCCGAGTTCTGGCCAGGATTCAGGAGCGAACTTTCCAGCATGTGGGGACGAAGGCCCCTCTCCCCCTCAGGCTGCCCCCCTCCCCCCCCAAAAAATGGCGAGGTCGGGGTCGGCCCTCGGTACGTTGGCACATGTTTCTCATGTGGATTCGTCTTCCTCTTGCTCCTCCTCCTCCTCGTCGTCCTCCTCCTCTGTTCGACTCTGCCAGCGTCACTCTGCAAGTCTTCCTCCCCAAGGGCTCCGAGGCCTCAGACACTGCGGGCGGGGCCTGTGAGAGGTCTCCTGATCGGGTTCGGGCACTGGGTCTTTGCAATACGGACATGAAGATTCTTAGCTCGGTCGTGAATATCATTCTGAAACCAGTCGTGGACTTTGCGACCCCACCATATCAGCGAGGCTTTATTTCTGGACGCAGCTTTGGAAATGATACTATTGAGCTTGACGCCCAAGGTCGTACCGCTTCTCAGCACCCGCTTGCCCGAAACAAATTCCCGATTATGTTCGGCTTTGACTACGGCCAGGCCTTCCCCAGCCTCTCCCAGTCCTTCTTCGTGCAGCTCCTGGGCGCCCTGGCGCTCTGCGAGGCGCTCCTCTCCTTTTTGTAGGGCTCCTGTACGAAACTGCTCAAGGGGCCATTGCTGATGGGGGCGCTCTTGTGGAAGTTTTCTGGCTGGGATCTGGGATTCTTCAAGGATGTGGGCTCTCGGGCTCATTGTATGCTCTGGCCCCAGCCCCGATGCTTCAGGACCTGGAGGAGAACTTGGAGGTTGTCGGGAAAGGGCTGGGACGTGCGTGCGCTGACGATTTGGGGGTGGTCTTGTTCGAGTTTGCTTTTATTCAGATCGTCTTTGAGGTCCTTCAGACTATGAAATTGATTGCGGGGCTCTTTATTAAGATAAGTAAGTGCACTGTGGTTCCCCTCGAGGGCTCGATCTCTGAGGCTCTCCGAGGCGAGGTTCGTGATCTCATGGGCCAATATGTTCCTGAATGGGCTGAGTTCGGTATTGAAGGATGTATGCTCTATCTTGGCATCTGGCTCAGAGCAAGCGCCACCGTAGACAGGTGCTGGTGTGACCCCCTCGCCAAAGTCCGCACAAGAAGTCGCATGCTCAGCCGCACCGGTGCGGCGAGTAGTGTCAACTCCGCTCTGTGCCGTACTCGCGTTCACTCTGTTCTCACTTATGTTGCCCAGTTTGTCCCGATGCCGCCCAATTTCCTCACGTTGGAGGCGTTATCTCACAGGTCTTGCGGTGCCCGCTCGGCATGATCAGCAATGAAGCTGTCCCTGAACTCCAGTGTTGGGGCGGGCCGCGGCTACCATCATGTGCGGATCATGCCTCCGCTGCACTGCTTCGGGTTCGGGCTGCTGCCATCACTTTCCGCGGCTTCCCGACCTACCTCGGCATGAGGAAGGCCAAGACGATCGGCTGGCGGCAAGAAGTTGCCGACGGACATTTTGATGATACTCCACTCTCCGCCACCGTTCGGACGCGCACGTACCCCAGGAACTGGAAGGCGCCCGCTTTCGCTGAGAACCTCGATGGCGTGCTCGATCAATCCTCCGACGAGTGGTTGGTGGCTGTTCGGGCCTCTCTCTTTGACGAGCTGTCCTGCACTGACCGTCGTCCCCGGCTTCAACGTGCTGTTGCCGCCACTCTTTCGGGCCTTCTCGCAGCTGGGGGCGCGCTGAGCCGCGCCATCGAGAGATACCTGAGAAGGATTCTTTGCGACTGCGAGCCCTTCCTGCATCGTGTCCAGTGGGAGAAAATTCGAGAGCTCATGCGTCTCCTCCCGCAGAGCTGGGCCATGGCCGCTATCAGGACGTGGAACAACGGCTGGTTGACGTCCGCCCGCATTGTACATCACGATGGCCTACTCCGTTGTCGCTACGGATGCGGCCGACCTGACCAGCTCTCACACTGCCTATTGTGCCCGCGGCTACGTCTCGCCACGGGCCGAGCTCTTTGTCGAGACCTGCCTGCCTCGCTTCGAGCACGCCTGGGCTTCGCGGATCCCAAGCCCGAAATATTTGAGGAGATGTATGCTGCTTACCAGATATTTAACATGTCCAGGCAGCGCGGCAGCGCCATTGTCCCCAGAACTCTCTCCTCGCTCGCGGCTGCTGCTGTGCGGTCTCTTCGTCTCTCGCGACCACCGCGGGCGCTGAAAAAGTGGGTCCCGCCGCCGCGGTTGATTATTGGCTCCACTCGCATCCATCTCATCTCTTCAACATCCGACTCCAGCACCACGTGCGACTCCAGCTCCTCGGACACAGTGCGTGGTGTACCCCCCGACAGTCCGTCGAGGCCTGTACCTGCTGGGGGCCCCGTCAGAGGTGAAGCAGAATGTTGTCTAGCGAGATGTGGGCTTACCATGTGTCCCGCATATGATGTCTCTTGTGGTTATCGGCCGCCCTCCGTCATCGATGACGTAGCGATTGACTTCATGAACCAGTGCCAGGCTATTATCCCATCTCTTCCTCGTGAAGTTCCGCCCTCCCTGTTGATTCCCACGCTTCCACCTATCGTGTTTGTTCCCGCTCGCGCGATGCCGTAGACGGGTTTTCTCCACTCGTCCTGTTTCTAGTTCTCCTCATGATTTGCCCCAGCCATACCGTGTCGCCCCCGCACACTCTGTTCCACCTCTCCCTCTTGCCCGTCGCTCCCGATGGCTGCTGCGCATGCTGCTGCTGCTCCCCACCCGCTCCCCTCCACCGTCGCCGCCGCCAGCCCCCCGCACGATACAACACCTGCTGCGCCTGTTGGGCCCCTCGACTTGTCGCTGGGCGCGAAGGACGCGTTTGGCGCCCCGCCGCAGTAGGTGGGAGGACACGCGGCCCCCCTACGATCGTCTCCTCCTCCTCCTCCTCCTCCTCCTCCTCCTCCTCCTCCTCCTCCTCCTCCTCCTCCTCCTCCCCCCCCCTTGTCATCCACTGCTACGCGGATATTATGTGCTCGAAGAAGAACAATTGCATAATCATGAACTTTCGTAGGTCCACGCGGATTTTTTATATGCCCTGGATACCCTTCGAGAGGGGTCCAGCGCCGATCGAAGAAGTCCTCGCGGACCTCCGACGGTTCATGTTGGTTTGTTTGCCACATGTTCGATTGCCCCGAGTTTGAATGCTTTGGGCTTGCCCCTTCCCTGCTCTCCTGCTCCACCAGTGGTGGTGGGATTTCTCGTTTCTGTCGTTGGGGACCCGCTCCCTGCTCTAATGAAGCCTTAGTTCGCAGTGCCTTGTGTATTGGTTTCGTCTGTAGCGCTTACCGCGAGCTCAACTAGGTAAAACCCACGCGCCAGCGGTTCTTGGTCCGTACTCTCGCCAGGGTGCATGAGCTCCTCAGGCGAGATGGCCAGCTCGTTGCCCTCATTGGCCATCGCCTCTCCTAAATCTAGGTGCGGCCTAGCCCGATTTGTACGAAGTCATGCTGGGCGCGCGCGGGCACGCTTATTTTGGGTTCAGCTCCGCTGGTGAACTACATAGCCCAGCAGGGTAGTGATTGCAAGCCTGATGCAAGTCTGCGAACCGCATCGGGTAGCATCATTGATTGTCAAAGTCTCGGTGCGCGCCGCTACATGCTTCAGTTTGCTGTGCCTGTTGAACGCTGGTGCACTGGTGTTTGTTTGTTTGTGTGTGTGTTGACCTGATGATGGGAGGGACGGCGTCGATTTCGCCCCCTGGTTCTGCTTGCTGGCCGCCTTTGTCCCCTTCTCTTCGGGCGGGTCTATTCCCCCGCTTCCTCAAGTGTGCACCTCCCTGTTCTGGTTGCGCGTGAGACGATGGGGTCATGTGGGGATTCCAGGTTCGCCATGACACCCGTCAGCGGATACAGTAGGCATGTCAACTAAATCAAAGATTTGTCAACAACTGCCTAACGGACACTTATTCTCCCCAAGTGGCCCTGGGAACCCCGGCAGACATGGGACACCTCAGGAGGGCGACGTATTGACAGCAAGTGTGGCGTTATACTTCTTGTAGCAAGACGTCTTGTTGCGTGTATCCACTGGACACAAAACTTAACACTATTGAGCGGGGTGGGTCGGAGTGATCGGATGTCAGATATGGCGTGAACGTACTCCTCCTCCTCCTTTTCTTTCTCTTCTACCTCCTCTTCCTCTTACCCCCTTACATCCGACGTTGCGAAAACATGCAACATCGATATATCACGGCTGGAGCCCTGGATCCTGCGTTTCAGTACCATTTTTCCACCCGGATCGATCCGTGATGGCCCTAGGGCCCGAAATCCGGGCGGAAACGCCCGGTGTGGAAAAATGGTATGCCGGGACCTCAGTATCCTCCTCCTTCTCCTCCTAGCCTTTCTCCTTGAATGTACGTGGGTTGCGCCACGGTTGATGCTGCAACAAAAAATCCTCCTCCTATTCCTTTTCCTCCTCTTCCATTCCTGTTCCTCAAAAAGAATTTGTCCCTGTCGCACCCCGAGGCCAGTTTTTAGGGCGGGCCGGGCGTTTCGCTTGCGACTTCTACACCACTTTTGATGTTGAAGCTGTAAGAGTGGCAACAGCTTCACAGATGGAGGGCGGGTTGTTTCCAAAATGTGGTTCTCGCTCTAGCGCCGCGCACACTCGTTCTAAACATTGAAAAAGCTTCCCGGCTTGAGGGCGGGTGGTTTTCAAAATGCGGTTTTCGCTATACCGCTTCGCATATTCATTTTAAACATTTGCAAGAGCTTCACGGTTTGAGGGCGGATGGTTTTCAAAATGTGTTTGTCGTTTTAGCGCCGCGCACATTCGTTTAAATAAAGTGCAAAAGGTTCGCGGATTGAGGGCGGGTTGTTTTCAATCTGTCGTTCTCGCTTTAGCGCCGCGCACATTATATATATAAGATGCAAGAGTTTCACGAATTGAGGCTGGGTGGTCTTCAACATGTGGCTTTCGCTTCAGCGCCGCGCACATTCATGTTTATCAAATTGCAAGAGTTTCACGGACTCCCATGATCAACGCACCAGAACAATATTTTGGAAGTGTTCAGGATTATGTGGGCGCAAAAATTATGTCGATTCGCGGTGTTGAAGTCCCAGAAATGGCTTTCTGACACGATTCCATATCGTCAGGACGCAGCAGTCAGGTTGATCCGTGGCGTGGAAATCCCGAAAACAATGTTTTGGCATGCTCCAAGGTCTTCAAATTGTTGTTTTCTACTGAGGCAGTTCCCTCAATGGAAATGAACCGTTGTAGGGGCTTACGAAGAGGGAACTTGGAGGGAGGGCGAATTCCAACATCGTTGATGACTCTTCGGTTTACACTGGTCCTCCTCTTAATCCTCCTCCTCCTCCTCCTCCTCCCCCTCCTCCTCCTTCTCCTCCTCCCCCCCCTTTGATCGCGCGAGGTCTAGCTGCCAAAGCAACTTGCAGTTCCTAGTTTTCTCGATGCTCATCGATTCGGAGTCCCATTGCGATGTGTAATTCTGTTATATTACATCATCATCCTCTGCTCTCGTTGCCCACGGCCGCCCGTTCACACCGAGGGCGCGTCCGTCCGGAGCAGCGAGCACGTCGAGGTCGTCGAGGATTTTGAGGCGGCCGTCGTGGCGATCCAGCGCGTCGCGGCCAACGCGGGCTTTACGTAAATGGTGTAGCCGGTGCTCCGGGGAAGAATCAGAGGCCTCCTCCCCCTCCTCCTCTTCCTCCTCCTCCTCGTCCTCCTCCTTTTCCTGCTCCTCCTCCTCCTCCTGCTCCTCCATCCCCCCTCCTCTCTCCTCCTCCCTCTTCTTTCTCCTCCTACTCCTCCTTCCCCCCTTTTCCCTCCTCGCTCCGCACTTCTCCTCCCTATTCCCCTTATCCTCCCTATCCTCCCTATCCCTCCCTATCCTCCTCCTCCTCTTCTCCTCCTCCGCCTCCTCCTCCTCCTCCTCCTCCTCCTCCTCCTCCCTCAAGCAATATCGGCACGAACGCATCATTTTGTTGCGGTTTCGTTCTGAGGCCTCTCACTTCCAAATAGTGTTTGAGGGGCAGCGAGCCACCAGCCTACCCCGCCCTTTCGGTTGGCGTTCTCGCCGGCAAAGAGAGGTTCAGCACCATGGCGACCGCGCGTGCGCGGTCCACTTGCAAGGCGTGTGGCGCCCACGAGTGGAACGATGCTCTGCAGGCCAACGGGTGCAACTGCATGAAGTGCTCGAGGCAGGTTCGCCTATACAAGAGCAAGAGCAAAACCGACCAGGGCTCGTCGGCGCTTCGTGATCTCGTGGGCTCGAGGAAGACGCACCCGACCGTCCAGGGGTTGCTTGCGCAGGCAGCGGCCATCACCGAGGACCCCACGCTGAAGCAGGTGTTGGTGACCCGCTCGCATGCCCTCGAGAAGGGCGCGCAGGCCACCCCCAACACGCTTTCAGCAGGGGAAGCTGTCCGACGTGTGGAGGGCGCCTGGAAGCAGGCCTCCCCGCCAGAGCGCTTGCAGCGGCCACCATCAACAGGGGAGTGGCGGCGCAGGCGCTCGCCCGCGAGACGGGCGTCGCGCAGTCGGCAACTCCACAGAACGGCGCGGGAGGAGGTCCAGCAACAGGTCCAGCAGCCGGCGGCCGCGGCAATGGCTAAGGGCCACCTCTTATCGACTTGCGTTGGGATGCTATCATATTCGACGTCGACGGAGCGTTCGATTTCAGGCAAATTGAGCCCCGACGGCGGGTATATTTTCATTCACCCCTAACGCGACTTAAGGATTCTGACAGCCGCGCGGGCTGTTTTGCCGGGGCCGGGGGAGGAGAAGGAGGAACAACAACGCGCAACAATCCCTGTAGCCCTTCCGACACTGCACCTCTTTGCGACCCTCTCTAGAGTGACTGGATCGCGATCCGGCAATGGACATTCTCGCCCCGCACCTTTTCAAATTTCCGGTGGAAAATCTGAGTGACCTTGAAAAAACGGCGAGCCACAGACGCAGAGAACGGATCCGCCATGCCCATGCCCGGAAATTCCAGCTTGCCAGGATTACAATGTGTGAACAGTTGGTTGCGCACGGCCCGGGATCCTCTGCCTGCTGGACGACTTCAACAGGGAGAGAGAGAGAGAGAGAGAAAGAGAGAGAGAGGGAGCGAGAGAGAGAGAGAGAGAGAGAGAGAGAGAGAGAGAGAGAGAGAGAGAGAGAGAGAGAGAGAGAGAGAGAGAGAGAGAGAGAGAGAGAGAGAGAGAGAGAGAGATGGGCGCCGACATCGAGGTGGGCAACGGCGACGGCGAGAGGGGCGGGCAAACGGCAGCGGAGGAGTTTGCAGAGCTTGCTCGCCCCCCCATCCCCCTGCGCTCCGCGGGGCCCACGGGGGAGAGCTGCTGGGGGAGTTTGCAGCGCCGCCTCGGCCCCGCTCCGCACTTGCGCCCGCTCGGGCCCAGGAGCAGCCTGCCCGCCCTACTCGCGAATCCAATCGCTTGACGCAGCTGTTCCAGGAGATAAAAGAACAACTGCGCAAACGGAATTCAATTGGCCCGGCTTCGCACTCTTCCGCGCGCCAGCGGGCAAAGTTGAGCGACGCGAGCCCGGGGGGAGTTGGAGGCCCCGAGTTTCGGGGGCAGCCGGCGGGCGCCGATGAAGATCTTCGAACACCCATGCCCGAGCCAAAACGCGCGGAAATGCTGCCCCAGGAGATCGAAGCGCAACTGAACCAATGGGGCCCGATCGGCCCTGCTTCGCGCTCGCTTGTTCGCCGGAGGGCGAAGTTCGGTGGGCCTCGAAAACCATGGGCCCCTGCGGTGAGACGGGCGAGAAGGAGGTTCGGAACGATGGAGGCCACCCAATCATATGGAAATGTTGCCCCCGGAGATCGACTCGTCTGTTCGCCGGAGAGCGAAGGGGGTCTGGGGAAATGGAGGCCCCGAGGTTCAGAGGCGACCGACTGGCGCCGATGGCGAACTTCGAAAGCCCATGCTTTTCAATGATGGCCCTGAGATCGCAGCGCCTCTGGGGTTCTTCAGTTTTACAGCGACCCACGAAGGGGTCGCCAAGGGCGTCTTGCAAACGCTGCGCGCGGAAGGGGGGATGGATGCCCATTGGGGAATGCGTTGAAGCACTAGTATTTTTGCTTCGCAAAGGCGTCGCGCCGGCGCGGAGGAGGCGGAGAAGTCGTTGGAAACTGAGGCAAAGGGGCGGGCAATATTTCCCAGTGGGGGGCCCCTCTAGCCACCTAGCGGTTAAAGACGCAGCTGCTGAAGGGTTTGTCGTCGAAGTGCGGGCGCGGGAGCGCAGCGGGCGATTTCTGGCCGGCGTCCATGACATTGCGTGGAACAGTATTGGCCATTATTTTCTCTACGGTTGAATCGCGGCGCCAATTGGCCAACAGCGGCGCAGTCCGCGCGCTGCCAGGGGCGGATCGCGCTCCTTTCGGAATGGGAAAGCATTGGAGGCTTAGCCAGGTTTGCTGGACAAGTACGCAACTGCCGCCACGTGAAGATAAAAGCGAAGGCCAATTCGCACGCCTAAGTTGAAGACAGATACACACGCGCAGCCACTTGTTTCTTTGGACGGAGATGCCGCGCGAATCTTCAGCACGCGCCGCATGCCTCCCCATATTGTCTGAGTTATTGAGCGCGACCTTGCAGAAGACGACAAGAAGAAGTGACGGGCGAGCCGGCGCGAGGTGAAGTCATCGAGATCAGGGGCTGCGCATTCCTGAGCGCGCTTGGCGCGGGGGAATGCATCTGTCCTGGCGCAGGGGGCGCCGATCGCACTAGCGAGGGCATCTCGGAGTGCGCGGTGCCCCCCTCTCTTTTCTTCCTCCGTCTTCTTCTCCGTGGGGTGCAGAGAGGAATTTGGCTCGCGAGTTGAAGAGGGGCTCGGGCCCCCCCCCGCCTCTCGCGCAGGCCCGCTCGCACGCGCCGCCGGCGCGGCGGCGGCAGCGGCGCCGCGCCCGTTAGTTTCATCGGAGAGCTACTGACTGGCAGCGCAGGGCCCCTGGCGAACGGGCCGCGCGCTCGCCCGCGGTGGAAGGGGGGGGGGTGAGGGCTTGGGGCGAGGAGGGCAGCGTGCGCGCCTCTGCGCAGGCCTTGGCAGTTCTCTCGATAAGACGTCGCAAGGCTGTCGAGCCGTTGCCGCGCGGCCATGAGCGAGTGGGCGACGCAGAGAAGAGCTGATCGCGGAGATCCGTCGAGCTGGGTGGATCGGGCAGTTCTCTAGGACTTTTTGAAGGCCTACGAACAGATGCGCCATCTTTGGTTAGTGGAAGAAGCGTTGGAGACTGGCTATCCTCTGTGGCAACCAGAACCTTCTCAAGTTGCATTGCTCGCCTCGCATTCTTATCTTTGGAAGTGCGGTTTGGGATGTGGTGCATTCGCAGCAGTCAGTGTCCCCGGAAGATGGCTATGCGACAACGATGCTCAAATTGCTGTCGATCTGTTGACGCAGTACCACCCGACTTTGGAGCTTGCCGCGGTGGTGGACGATTTGATGTTGCACCTAGTGGGTGGCTTGATACGAGTCGCCAGAGAAGCGGCAGATGCAGCCATTCGTTTGCAAACTTTGTTGGAGGCAGTGGATCTGCAGGCGGCAGCCTCCAAGTCCAGGGTCCTGGCCAACGTTCCAGAAGCCAGCCGCGCAGTCGAGAAGAAGCCGAGGAGGCCGACGGGCATGACAGCGGTGGCCACGGAGAAAGGCCTCGGGGTAGACTTCGCGCGTGGACGTCGGGTGCCTCGAGCCGTTCGTCGTGATAAACTAGCAGCGCCGGGACTTTGGATGCGGCGGGCTTCTTGCTCAAAGGAGGTAGAGGCAGACGAAGAGCATGTCGCAAAGTTGCTCGCAGTGGCTTGGATGCCTCGGTCAGCTATGGTTTCAACGTGACAGCTTGCGCTTCAGAGGAGCTGAACAAGGTCAGAAGCTTGGGTTTTCGCCGCAGCGTCGCCGACGACTGCAGGGCGGTCTCGATCCTTGACCTTGATGCTGACCACGGCCTTGGACCCGATGATCAGAGCAGCGGCGTGCCCAGCCCTGACTCTGCTTGGGGCGGTCCGGGAGCAGTGGGTACCGCGGCACATCGTGGAGTGCTGCCCGCGCAACTGCCAGGCGGCGTTGTGGAGCCAGGTTAAGTTTTTTTTTTTTTTTTTTTTTTTTTTTAAAAACAAAAAATAGATTTATGTGTATATATATATATTATTTGTCCTAATACGCGCGATGTTGGCCCGCGTCGGTCGGGCCATCCTCGAGCCGAGTCTGCGGCAAACGAATGACGGAATCCAGCTGCAGGTGTTTGAGGCCCCCCTTGGGCTGTCAAACTACTGCTCTGGAGAGCGACTGAGGCGTGGCAGCGGAACCAAGTCGGCGAGCAAGAGGGGTTACAACATCTCGCCGCTGGAGGCGTTCTCGAACCACTTGTACGACTCACAGGCAAGGGCGCCGCCAAGTTGAGTGGCTTCTTCGGCGAGCAAGGCGTGCCCACGGGGGCTGTCAAGAGGGCCCGGGCGCCTACTGCTCGCGCAGCGGCGGCGCCAGTTCCTACGCCGGCGGTGCCCCCTGCAGCTCGTCGGGAAGAAGTTGCGGCGGCAGCTCCTGGTCCCCGTGGCAGCCGCTTTCAGGATGAAGGTGTCGTGGCACCTCCTATTGCGGGACTGGGGCCAGGGCGCCAGGGGCCAGCGCAGTTGCCAGCTACCTCGCCGGGCGATCTTCGACAAGCTGTAGGCGCAGATAGGTCAGATTCGGTCCGCAATTGATTTGGAGAAGTTTGCAGCTGAGAAGGGGGCGCGCAGAAAGCTCCGCCCCGCATGACTACGGTTCGAGTGGAGTTCCCGGTGCTCTGCAATTCGTTGGTCTAGCGAGCGTGGCAGAAGGTGGCGAGTTAACGGCGCAGGCTGGGCATCAGGGCGCTGCGTCACCGCGTAGTCCGGCCGAAATATCCGGCGCAGCTGTGCGTCTGGACTTGTCTGGGTTTCCGCCGTGCGGTTTGCTCAGGCAGGCCCCGTCCGATTGCCCGATGCAGCTCGGATATCGCAGCCTCGCCGAGACCAACGAGGTCGTTCTGCAGGCGATCTTGCCGGCGGCGAAGGAAAGGGGGTACCTGGAATCATTGGTGCAAGGAGGACAGTGGTCTCAAAGCCGTCAGTATGAATGTGGATATGCAGCAGATCCTCTGCGCCTCAGGCGCGGCAATCTGAGGGCCCTGCTACATCGGCATTGTGAGTGTGAAGAATGGCCCCCAGAGCTTGGTCTACCTGATCCATTAGCTAAGGTGGTATCGCTTGAGCGTGGGCTCTGGCCTATGCCGCAGGGTATCGCAATGCCTCCAAGAGCTGCTCATGTCTGTTGGCTTGGTCAAGGAGCTGAAGGTTGGCTGCCGCCAGGGGCGCTGCATCTGGATGGCTCAGCGCACGAGGGAGAGAGGTGCACCGCAATTGGATGGGCCGTAGTGGCATTGAAAACTACCTCAGATGAGCTCGACGTTGGGATCTCAGGCGTGCTGAACGAACCCTTCGTGGACATCAATGGAGGTGACTTGGCCGCCTGGCTGCACTTGCTCAAGTACGCGGTACCTCCAGTGACTGCCGTTGCCTACAGCTCGCACGTGATCAAGGGGCTCACGGAGAACTGGCCAGCAAGGACCACTGCTGATGGGTTTGCTTGGGCCGACCTGCGGAAGCAAGTTTGGCACCTGGTGGAGGCGTTCGGAGGTCTTGGTCCTGACGGGCTCACGGTGGTCAAGATTGCGTCGCATGTGCCCAAGAAGAACCTGCAGGAGTGCGGCATCAGCTACAGGGACTGGCTCGGCAACAAGTTCGCGGACACAGCAGCGAAGAGCGCAGCGGTATCCTGCCGAACCCGCGGAGTTGACCGCATTCGCTTTCGGGGCGCTCATCAACTCGTCGAGGGAGTTGCGATGTGGGTTGCTGCAGTTGGCGCCATGGCGGGGTTGACACGACGCATCGGAAGTCGAAGCCTAGCAACGCCGAAGTCGGCATTCAAGGCAGTTTCAGAAGTTGTTCGGTTGGACTTGCGTGGAGGGCCATGCGAACGCTGGTGCGCAAGATGCAGGTGGCCTGAGAGGAACTCGGAGTGTTCTGGTGACATCGCGTCGGCAGCGTTGGCCCTCAACCTCAAGCTGTGTAAGCCGCGCATGCTGGTGAAGCTGGCGCCTGTTAGTGGCGCGGAGCTCACGAAGGACCTTCCGCTTGTGGCTTGTGCGGCCTGCGGGCCAGCTGTCTCCTGCAAGCCGTCAACCTCCGGTCGTGCATGTGGACACTTGCGCCCGCAGTTTCAGCGAGAGCCTTGGTCAACCTGGAGAGGATTGATGGTGGAGACGGTCGTCCTGGCGCACCTACGGGTACACCAGGGGCTGTCGGTGATGGGGATGGTCGTCCCGGGCATACCAGGGCCTGTCCATTCTGGATTGCAGTGTATGTCGGGCGGAGAGCAATGTGGCTCTGCCGATCCGACGGGAGTGGGCCTGCGCCGCGACTCCGCTGGCTACGACCAGAACGCGTCGGGCGGAGAGCGGCGGAGCTCTGCCGACTCGACGGGGGCGGGCTTGCGCCGCGACTCCGAGCGGAGCCGCCCGCCGCGAAGGGCGACTTCGGGTTCGCGAAGCGGGACTTCGTCACGGTCGGGGGGCCCCACCTCGCAAGTGGGGCCTCCCGCGGACGCGCCTGCGGCCGCGGGCGCGCGTCGGGCGGTCGGCACCGACCGCCTCAGGACGCGCAGATCCTCCTCCCCTCTCCATTTCCAGCCCTCCCCTCCCCCCTCCTCCCCCCATCCTCCCCACCTCCTCCTCCCTCCTCCCTCATCCGCCCTTTTGCTTCGTATCCTTCGCATTCCCCTTTTCCTTCTCGCTGCCATCTTCCCTCTCCTCCTCTTCCTCCTTCTCCTTTTCCTTCTCCTCCTCCTCCTCCTCCTCCTCCTCCCCCTCCTCCCCCTCGTCCTCCCCGTCCTCCCCCTCGTCCTCTTATTCTACAGGCTTACGCCACATCCGCCGACCCCTTCTGTGACTGTTGCGAGGCCAGGAGTTTCTGCCAGCGGCGTCTTGTGTGAGGGTGCGGTGTCGCGCGCGGGTGGTGGCAGATACGTATGGGGGCCCAAATGTTTGCGTGATGCCGGTGGTCTGGGGCGTGTTCTGCGAGCGCCTTGCACGCTGTGCACCGGTGTCCTTCTGGGAGGTCGGCCTTTCGACCTTCAACCAAGTGGAGGAGCACCGGAAGACGAAAGGAGCAAGAGTAGCGTGCAGCGAATCATCACCGCGAAAGATGTGGCAGATTAGTCGAAACGGGTGAAGAGGCTGTTGACGTTCGCAGCGCGCACGAAACAGTTCGCGTAGCAGCAACACATTAGCGCCGAGCAAGATTGTGAGCACGTCGCGAGGAAGAGCAAGGCTGCATGCGCGGAGTGCATTGCAGTTGGCTTGACGGCTCGCAATGCGGAAGCGTCTGGGGGTCTTTTGGAGGCCTCCTGGGGGCCTCTTGGGGGTTCCTTGGGGCGTCTTGGCGGCCTCTTGGGGGCCTCTCGCGGCCTCTTGGGGCACTCTAGGGGCCCCCTGGGGCTCGTGGGGGCGGAAAGCTAGATTTTTGATTTTTTGGTTGCCCTCTTGGGCCCCTCTTGGTGCCGTCTTGGAGCCTTATTGGGCCGTCTTGGGGACCTCTTGGGCCGTGTTGGGGCCATTTTGGGCCGTCGTGGGGCCGTCTTGGGGGCCTCTTGGGCCGTCTTGGGGCGGTCTTCGGGACCTCTTGGGCCGCCTTGGTGCGTCGGAAAACCCACGAGGCGAATTTGCGAAAACTATACGTTTTAAGAAGGAAAGAAACAATTTTCTGCGTCTAAGGACCCTCTTGGGGCGCATTTTGGAGGCCCCTTGGGGGCGTCTTGGGCCAGCTGGAGGCCATCTCGGGTGTCTTCGATCGCTCTTGGACCGTGTGGGACCATGTTGAGCTCCCTGGGGAGCCACTTGGAGCGCTCTTGGAGCGCTCTTGGGGCCGTCTTCGGGGCTCTCTTGGGCCGTCTTCGGCGCCTTTTGAGCCGTCTTGGCGCCCTCTTGGGCTGTTTTGGGGCCCTCTTGGAGGCTTCTTGCACCGTCTTGGTGCGGTCTTGGGGGCCTCTTGGGCCGTCCGGGAGCGTCGGAAAGCCCAAAAGGCGAATGTGTGAAACATATACGTTTTACGAAGGGAACGGGCCAATTTTTTGCGTCTAGAGGCTCTCTTGGGGCGCATCTTGGATGCCTCTTGGGGCCTCTTGGGGGCATCTTGGGCCGTCTGGAGGCCGTCTTCGGTGTCTTCGATCGTTCTTGGACCGTCTGGGACCATATTGAGCTCTCTTGGAGGCCACTCGGAGCGCTCCTGGAGCGCTCTTGGGGCCGTTTTCGGGGCCCTCTTGGGCCGTCTTGCGCGCCTGTTGGCCCGTCTTGGGGCCCTCTTGGGCTATTTTAGGACCTTCTTGGAGGTTTCTTGGGCCGTCTTGGGGCGGTCTTGGGGGCCTTTTGGGCCGTCTGGGAGCATCGGAAAACCCAGCAGGCGAACTTGTGAAAAATATACGTGTAACGGAGGGAATGAGCAATTTTTTGCGTTGAGGGACCCTCTTGGGACGCATCTCGGAGGCCTCTTGGGGCCTCGTGGGGACCTCTTGTGCCGTCTAGGAGGCCTCGTAGCCCGTCTTTGGGCCACCTTGGGCGTCTTGGAGCGCTCGTTTGGCGTCCCGGGGCCATTCCGAGGCCACCGGAGGAGTCCTTGCAGGATTTTCGGGAGCGGATGACCCCCCCAGGGGAATCGGGGGAATCGGGGAATCGGGGGAATCGGGGAATTTGGCCGGACCCCTCCCCCCTTCCAAATCGACCGGACCGGGCTCCCGGGGGAGGGGTTTGGGGAGGGGGAAGATCTCACACGCCGATGAACCCCAAGGGGTCGGCGGATTCCTCCTTTTCCTCCTCCTCCTCCTCCTCCTCCTCCTCCTCGCCCTCCACGTCCTCGTCCTCCTCGTCCTCATCCGCGTCCTCCTCCTCCTCCTCCTCCTCCTCCTCCTCCTCCTCCTCCTCCTCCTTCCCCTTCTCCCTCCCCTGTGCGTCCCCATCTTCCGCCTCAGCCCAGGCAAGGTATCCGATCCGAGGGACGCGCCATTCTAGATCCTGGGTCTTTGGTGAGCTCTGGTCGGTTACCCGCGCGCCATGCCGATGCATTCGTCTGGGGAAGAGTGCGCTTCCCAGGAAAAGGCCACTCCCTCGGATCGGATATCTTGTTGGGGACCACTCCTCGTCACCCTCCTTTCCACGGAGGAGGGCGGATTTTTTCTCGTTTTCAAACTTTGGTACTCGCTTTAGCGCCGCGCGCACTCGTTTTGATCAGTTTGATTAGCTTCAGAGATGGAGGGCGGCTCGTTGTTTTGTTGTTTCTTTCGAAACGTTGCTATCACCACAGCGTTTTGCCAGTTTTTTGTCCAAACACCGATGAATTTGCAAGGCTTTGTAGCGTCGAAGTGTCAACATGCAATCTGACACGATTGAGAAACGTCCTGGCGCAACGGTGACGGCGATCCGCGGTGTTCAATTGAGTCCCCGGAAAGGTGTCTTGGCACGACGTAGAATAGGCAGGATTCAACAGTCATGCTTGTTCGCGGCGCTGAGCAGTGCTTTGGCACGATTGAAGCTTCACACACGGTTGGTTGTGTTTCAATGACGCACTCCCCGCAACTACGAATTATTCGTCAAACGGCCTATGAAGAGGGAGCTCGGGGGGAGGTTTTAGTGCACCATTGATGATGCGTCTTGGGTTTGCACGGGTCCCTCTCCTCATCCTCCTCCTCGTCCTCCTCCTCCTCCTCCTCTTCTTCCTCCTCCTCCTCCTCCTCCTCCTCCTCAGCTGCTTCATCAGTGTGGACATGCTTTAGGTTCGAGGGTTTCGGGTGTTTTCGTCGGATATCGGCGGTTCTCCAGCCTCGGGACGCTCTCTATTAGCTGCGCTTCGACGCGAGCGTTCTGGGGATGCTCGGATCGCCCCGAACGGCCGCCAGAGGCCCGAAGTATTACTCGAAAGCCAGAAAAAAGGGGACAACTGGAAAGTGAAAAGTAGAAGGCCCTCTCAGAAGGCGGTTGGGCTTTTCCCAGCAGCCCTCGCGCCTTCTGAGAAGTGTTCTGTGCCTTCGGGGACTGCTCAGAAACACTGTCCGCAAGGGCTTCGCCCCCTGCCGCCGGCCCCCTCTCCATCATAATGGCATATATCAGGGTCGCGTCGGTGCGTCTCGGCGCTGCCTTGGCGCATCTGGGAGCATCATGCGGGGGCGGACAGGAATCATCTGCGCATATTGAGACGTTGGCGTTATCCTAGTGGCCTTCGGCCTCTTGGGGGCCTTTTGGGGCCTCGTGGGGCATCTTTTTGGCCTCTTGGAGGCCTCTTGGGCTCGTCTTGGGCGCCTCTTGGGGCCTCTTGGCGGCCTCTTGGGGCCTCGTGAGGGATTCTCGGGGCACAGCTATAGAATTTTCGGTTCGTGGTCCCCTGCTTGGGCCCGTCTTGGGGCCCCCTTTGGGCCGTCTTGAGCGCTTCTTGGGCAATATTGGAGCCCTCTTGGCCCCTCTTGGCTCCAGAGGTTGTCTTGGGCCGTCTTGGGGGGGCCCTGGGGCTGTCTTTGTGTTGACTGTACATGCTAATCTGTAGCCCCTTGGTCCAAGTAAAAACCATCAACATGGTAGCGGAGCGTGCGTGAGCACGTTCCTGCCGCCGCTTCCCTTCCAGCCACCCGCGGCGCGCGCGCGCGCCAGCGATAGGGCAGCGGCGAGGGCTGCGCCCTCCTGGCGGCTGGCAGCGGCGTGAGCTGCGCCGGCCGGCCCTTCCTAGCCCAGCACGCCGCCGAAGAAGAAGAGGAAGCGTGGCTCAAGGTCGAACAAGGCGGACATCCTGAGGAGCCGGAAGTTCGACGAGAAGCTCGACAGGAAGTATGGAAGAGATCGAGCGACGCTTCCAGGCGCTAGAGGGAGCGTTGCAGGCTGCCGAACAACGGGTGCAGGCTGCAGAGGAGCGCGCCCTGGCGGCGGAGTCAGCAGCAGCGAGCGCAGGCGCCGCGGCGAGCAGGCCCGTGGCAGCGGCGAGGGCTGCGCCACAGGATCTAGTGGACACTCGGCTTCTGGCGAAGCCGAAGGCGTTCGGAGGCAGCGAGGACGAGTGGCCGGGATGGAGCTTCAAGATGCTCGCGTACCTCGGGGCCCTCGACGAGATGATGGCCAACGAGCTGACGGCGGCTATGACGTTCCCGCTGGAGGAGGTGAGGAACGCGAGGCTCCTGGAGGAAGGAGCGAGCCAGCGCAGTCGTCAGTTGTACTTCATCCTCGTCCTGCTGCTGGAAGGAGCTGCACTCCAGCTGATCAAGCCGGTCGGCGTCGGAGAAGGGTATCGGGCGTGGAGGACACTACAAGACATGTACGAGCCCGACAGACCCGGTCGCCACGCAGGACTGCTGCAGGAGCTGATTGCGTTCCAGTTCCCGGAGGACAACATCGTGGGGACGCTGGCGGACTTCGACTTCAAGGTCACGAAGTACGAGAGTCAGAGCCACGAGAGGATCGGGGACAGGATCAAGATGGCGATCCTTCAACGGGGGATTCAGGACGAAGCTCTTCGAGCGCACCTGGTCCACAACGCGTCGAGGCTGGTCACGTGGGAGCTCATGCGCAACGAGGTGCACATGGTGATCTCGACGAGGAGCGCCATCTCATCAGTGCCGCCGCCGGTCCCGATGGACACGAGCGCCGTGGAGAAGGCGAGGCGCGAGCGCGACAAGGGCAAAGGAAAGAAGGGCAAGGAAGGCAAAGGCAAGAAGGGCAAGGGCGGCGACAACTCCACGGACCAGAGGGGCCAGGCGGCCAAGGACAGGGCCGAGAAACGGTGCTTCCACTGCCACAAGACCGGTCACATCAAGAGCGAGTGCAGGAAGTTCCTCGCAGAGCAGAAGAAGAAGAAGGGCACCAACGCGGTCGAGCAGGAGTCGAAGCCGACGGGAGCTCCGCCAGCGGCGAGCGCCGCGGGGAGCGCGGCGCCGGTGATGGCGATCGCGACCGAGGGCGGGGCAGAGCCGCTTTGGTGCCTCGCGATCGAGCTGGAGGAAGGGCAGGAGTCGTCGTCGACTGGAGCAGCAGCGACGCCCTTAGCACCAGCGACGACAGCGATCCACCTTCGTTCGAGCGAGCCGTCATCAGGCACAGCGCAGCCGAGGCAGCCATTCTTGGTCGGTGCCAGCCCGATCGAGCAGCTGAGCCAGCCAGGGGCAGCAAACGAGCACGAGACGTTCGAGAGCAAGGAGATCATCGGTATCAATGAGCACTGGGTCATGGTGGATTCGGGTGCTGCGCGATCGGTGTGTCCGCCGAGTCACGGGGCCCACGAGGCACTCAGAGGCCTGAGCGAGCGCATCCGGCTGGTCGGAGCGAGCGGCGACGACATCCCGTGCCACGGCGAGCGCTTCGTCACGTACACGAAGGACGGGCACAAGATCGGGGTGGACTACAAGGTCGCCGACGTCAAGAGGCCGGTGCTGGGCGTGTCGCAGGCGGTCGACAAGGGCACGTCGTGGGTATTCACGCCGAGCGGGAGCTACATGATCCCGAAGCCGATCGAGTTCTCGGACCCGGACGCCGTGCCGCTGGTCAGGCGCAACGACTTGTTCTACCTCAAGATGGACAAGTACGGTGAAGGCGTCAAGAACTCGCTCGTCATGCCGGTGCGGGGCGAGGAGCCGGGAGGCGAGGCCGGCGGCGCATCAGCTGCGTCCAGGGCAGCGGCGAGAGCCGCGCTCCAGGGCGGCGGCGGAGGAGCTGCCGCGACTCACGCTCAGGCCGAGGCGAGCGAGCCGGCAGCGCAGGCAGTGCTCGAGGAGTCCGTGCCGGTTCGAGTCAAGAAGGATCCGGTGAAGCCAAGCCTGGCCGAGCAGAGGACGCACGAGCTGGTGCACATTCCGGCGAGGTCCTGGTGCTGGGTGTGCGTCAGATCCAAGTTCACGGACGACCCGCACTACAAGGCCGGGCACGAGCGCACGGGCGACGAGGTCCAGATCGACTATTACTTCCTGGGCCAGCTGAGCATCCTCAACATGGTGCACATGAACTCCCAAGCTATTCATGGCATCATGGGGCCGAAGGGTACCGACGCCTACATGGTCAAGACAGCGGTCGCCACCATCGAGAACTGGGGGCTGGATCGCATCGTGCTGAAGCACGACCAGGAGGCGTCGATCACGGCCCTGGCGAGGGAGATCAAGGCTCAGCGGAAGGCGCCCACGATGGTCGAGTCAGCTCAGCGGGCTAACCATCAGGGAGTCGGTGGAGTGGAGCGCGCCAACGAGGAGCTCGGCAAGCAGATCAGGGCGCTGCTGTTCTCGGTGGGCGACAACTACAAGCGGGAGCTCCCAGCCGATCATGGGCTTCTACCTTGGCTCATTCGGCACGCTGGCTGGCAGCTCAACCGCTTCACGGTGCACGGCAACGGCAAGACGACCTACGAGGTGCTCAAGGGGAGGCCATATCGGGGCGAGCTCGTCAACTTCGCGGAGTGCGTCTGGGCGAGGGACCCCACGCCGACCTCCAAGCTGCAGCCTCGGTGGCACGCGGCGGTGTGGCTGGGCAAGACAGAGGTTTCGGACGAGCACCTGGTGGCGGGTCCAACGCGCACGACGAGGGTGCGCACGGTGAGACGGCGACCGGAGGGCGAGCGGTTCGTGCTGGAGGAGCTGGACAAGTTCGCTGGGGTGCCGTGGGACATGCGCCGGGCTCCACAGATCGGCATCGTGCCGGCGGGAGCGCCCCAGGTGGAGCCGAATCAGCAGCGGCTGATGCCGCCACCTCCGCCACCGCCAGTGGTCTTACCGGCTGCGGGCCCGGAGGCGCTGGTGCCACCAGCGATGGTCGGGCCGGCGCCGCCCGCGGGGCCAGGAGGCGCAGGGCTGAGGTCGACGTACATCACGAGGGCGTTGATCGACAAGTACGGCTGGACCCCCATGTGCCCGAGGTGCGTCACAGGCATGGGATCGCACAGTGAGGAGTGCCGGAAGAGGATCGAGAACGAGCTGCGCAAGGAGGAGATGGCCAGGGCAGCGGCGGGGGCCGCGCCCTCGTCGGCAGCGGCGGGAGCTGCGCCGACGCCGGCGGCGGCTGGGGCCGCGCCGGAGCCAGCGGCTGGAGCTGGAGACGGCAGGCCAGGATCGTCCGGGGACGCCAGCATGGCACCTCGCGATGACCAGGGCGAGGCGGCGGCGAAGAGGCCGCGCCAGACAGCGGCGATCACAGTCGGGTCGCTCGCGGTCGGGGCCTTCGTGGAGATCAATCCCTACACGTACGAGGGCCTGGACCAGCAGTCCCACGAGGAGCTCGAGACGGTCACGGAAATCGAGAGCTGCGAGCCGCTGGAGATCGGGATGTTCGAGGTCAGCCCCGTCGAGCCGGCGGCGATCACGGTCCTGCCAGACACGGAGAAGCACGTGTACGACGCGAGGAGCGGGAAGGAGCTCCCCAGGGACCTGGTCAGGCGCGGGCGCGAGGCCGAGATCGAGGAGATGCGGCGACACGGCGTCTTCGAGGAGGTCCGCGTGGCTGAGAGCCGGGGCAAGGTGGTGCGTTTCAAGTGGGTCGAGGACCTGCGCACCAAGGACGGCACCTCCTTCGTCCGGTCCCGAGGCGTCGCCATGGAGATCAACACGTACGGCCGAGAGGACTGCAACGCGGGCACGCCGCCGATCGCCATCGTCAGGGCGATCGTCTCCTTGGCGGCGACGAAGAAGGGTCGGAGGCATCTCTCGGTGCATGACGTGCACGTGGCGTTCTTCCACGCCGACCTCGACGAGTGGATCGTCGTCATCCCGCCTCCAGGACTTAGGAGAGACGGGTACGTGTGGCAGCTCCGGAAGGCCATGTACGGCACGCGCAAGGCGGCACAGGCTTGGCAGGAGTACGTGGCCGGGGTGTTCAAGAAGAACAACTGGACGCGCATCGCGGTGGCGGCGGGCGTGTACCACGAGTCTCTCTTGGACATGACCTCGGCGATCCACGGTGACGACATCCTGACCGAGGGCGAGGAGGAGTCCCTGGATGTCCTGGACCAGCAGCTGATGGCGAGCATGGACGTCAAGTGCATCGGTCGTGTCGGGCCGGATGGCGTTCGCGAGCTCCCATACCTCAAGCGCAAGATCAGGTGGACGGGCAAGGGGTTCGTCTGGATCGGCGACACGAAGCACGTGACGAGGTGCGTGGAGCTGCTGGGCCTTACGGAGTGCAAGCCGGCGGACACGCCTGGGAGCAAGGCCACGGGCAAGAGCGTCCGGGAGGCGCTGGATCCACTTCCACACGACGAGGCGAAGCTCTACCAGCAGGTCGCGGGGCTCGTCAACTACGTGGCGGTAGACAGGCCGGACATCCAGTTCGCGGCGAAGGTGATCCTCACGGACATGGGGAAGCCCACAGTCATCAGCATGCTCCGGCTGAGGCGGTGCGTGCGGTATCTCCACGGTCGGCGCGAGCTCGGGTGGTTCTACGAGGAGCAGGAGATGCCCAAGGCGGTTCTCTACGAGACGGACTCGGACTGGGCAGAGGATGAGATCACGAGGAAATCGACCAGCTCCGTGTACGGCTTCTTCGGCAGCCACCTTCTGGAGACCCAGGTGGCATCGCAGCCCGTCGTCGCGCTCAGCAGCGGGGAGGCCGAGTTCTACGCCATCGGCCGAGGCGCGGCGAGTGCGATCATGATGCGGCAGTTCTACCAGCAGTGTGGCATCGAGGTCGCGTCGAAGGTTCACAGCGACTCGAATGCAGGCAGGGCGATCGCGACGCGGATCGGCAGTGGCAAGGTACGGCATCTACAGATACGAGATCTGTGGGTGCAGGAACGAGTCAGGCTCGGCGAGTTGCAGCTCGGGCGAGTCGACACGGAGAGCAACAGGAGCGACTTGGGGACCAAGCATCTGGACGGCAAGCGGGTGCTCAAGTTGCTGGAGATGTCCAACCTGCGGCTTCTGACCAAGGGGCTCGCCGCAGGCTTGGGCGTCACTTTCACGGAGGCGGCCGAGCACGGGGACAAGCAGTGCTCCGCGGCCGCTGACGAGGAGGTCGAGTCGAACATCGGCTCGATCGGTCCCGCCATGATCGTGTTCATCATCGTGCTGGTGCTCGCGGTCAAGGGCGCAGTTGAGTGCACGAGAGGGGCGGTGCAGCTCTTCTCATCTAGGGCGGCGGGTGCTGCCCCACCAGCGGGAGCGGCGAGGGCTGCCCCGCAGGCCGACGGCACGGCGAGGCCCGAGGCGGCGTCGAAGGACGCGCCTGAGGGGCATGTCGTTTCTCGGGCAGCGGCGATAGCTGCGCCTGAGCGGGTCGCCGAAGGGCGAAACCTCGGTTCGGAGTACTTCGGGAAGATGCTGGCTGAGGCCACCGTGGCAGAGCTCAAGGAGGAGCTCAGGTGGCGGAAGCTGCCGGTGAGCGGCTTGAAGGCGGACCTCATCGTTCGTCTGACGAGGGACGGCGGCCAGCACATGGCCAGCAGTGAGGGGCTGGCTGCAGCGGCGTGGGCCGCGCGGCTGGTTCCAGGCAGGGTGCCTATCCGGGCGTTTCGCTCGGATGCGAGCTTGAGCTCGCACCTAGGCGCGCTTCTCAGCAGCACGAGGTAGGTTCGGGCCGGGATGGAAGACCCTCTGAGGGCCACCCAAGACGGGTGAGGACGCGGCACGCTGGCCGCTCCTTTTGAGCCAAGGGCGCGCGTCGGGCGCGGGCGCGCGGGAGCCTCGGCGGGGACGCCCGCTTCGGCTTGAGCTTGAGCCTTCAGAGGGAGGTTCGAGCCGCAGTACAGATGAGAAGATGCGAGGCGATGCGCTCGCCTGCATCTTGGAGGCGTGTTGACTGTACATGCTAATCTGTAGCCCCTTGGTCCAAGTAAAAACCATCAACACTTTGGGCCCTCTGGGGCCGTCTCGGGGCCTTCTTGGAGGCATCATGGGACGATCTTGGGGCCCACTTGGGCAGTCGTGTTCGTTATCAAAACGCAAAATACGAATGTGCTGAAAATGCACGTCTTTCAAAGGAATGAGATGATTTGGGCCTCTTCGGGCCCTCTCGGCGATCCTCTGGAGGCGCTTTGGGACTGTCTTGGGGGCTTCGTGGGCCATCTTGAAGCCATCTTGAAGCATTCTTGGATCGTCGTGGGGCAACCCTGGGCCGTCATGACGCTCTCTTCGACTGTCTTGGCGCTCTGTCTGGGCCATATTGGGCTATCTTGGGGCTTTTGGGGGCTCCGGAGACTCCAGGCGGTGGCGAGCTCGTGCCCCCATCCCCCCCTCCAGAACGGTTTTCGACCCCAGGGGAAGGGAAACAGGGGAGGGGGACAGCCAAATGTCGCACACGCCTTGTCACCCCGGCAAGCGGGGGTCGGCGGACTTTCGACGCCTTCCTGAGTTGTTTCTATCCAGATATTCCGAAGGATGTGTGCCGATGCCGGTGAAGCTCCCTCGTCTTCGCCTTCTCGGGCCTCCTGGGGGACTCCCGTCGCCGCCGCTGGACTCGCTTTTGAGTTTTGGTCACGGCGCGCCCCGGGAGGAAACGGGAGAGGGGGGGAGGGGGGGGGGGGAAGGTGTGGCTGCGTCATCGTATCCTCTCTCCCCGAGGCTCCACCGCGAGGGCGAGGGGGGGAGGGGGAGGGGGAGGGGGAGGTGTGGCTGCGTCATCGTATCCTCTCTCCCCGAGGCTCCACCGCGAGGGCGGCAGTGCGTCGCACGTGAGGAGGCGCCACGAACGAGAGGGGCCCCGAGGGCACCGGGGTCGTGGTTCTGCGCGGCCGCCCTCGACCTCCCGGGGCCCTGACGCGGGTCCTGGGGCCGTCAGGGGGCCTCCCCTCGGGGCCCGACCACTCGCGAGGCGCGGGTCGGCCCCTCAAAAAGTATGTGTGTGTGTGTGTGCTGTTCTCTCGTCAAGGTGGTCCAGAGGAAGGGCCGAGGTTCCAGGATCCGGGCGTTTCGTGAAGGGGAGTGGGGGGTGCGACAGATGGGGGGGGGGTCGAGGGCTGCAGGAGAGGGGCTCCCCAAGGGGTCTTCACGAGGCCCCTAGAGGGCCTCGGAGGAAGGCGCAGGAAACGCGCACCTTCTTTCCCCCCCCCCGTTCCCAAACACTCGACGATGTCGGCGCGCCGTTCTTCCGAGGCGTGACCTGCCGTCTTTGAGAGGGCGCCTCGACCACCAGTGCCAATTCCGCCTCGGACGCAAGCTTTGCCGTGGGTTTGCCGTGGTGCCGGCTTCGTCTACTTGGGCGTGTTCGGAACAGAAGGCACGGCGACCCCTTTCAGGAGCGAAAGAATAACGTATAAGTTGTACATGAATCCACGTTGGTTTCGAGAGTACGCATTGCGCGAAAGTTTGCATCACGAGATTGGCCTCGCGGACTGGGGGGGGGTCGTGGTCATGTACGTGGTCGGACGCCTGCGTACTCTGTGGGCCCCCTACCCCTCGCCAGAGACAAAAGTACCACTACCACCAGCTACGGGGGTGGCTGTCCCACCCTCTCGAGCTGGTGGCACCTCGTTCCGAGCATGCCTGCAGAGAGTTCCCGGAAGGAGGTGCCACCAACTCGTGGGGAGGGAGCGGCTACCCCCCTAGCTGGTGGTAGTGGTACTTCTGTCTCGCCTGAACCCCTGTTCCCAGACGTTCGACGATATGATTCGTTCAATCCGCGGCCCCAGAGGTCCCCACGCCTTCCCCGGGGGCAGCCCCAGGGCCCGACCATGGCACCCCTGGATGCCGAAACCGAGGAACAGCGCTGGTACTGAAACACATTTCGTATCGGCGGTGGTCTGGGCGTGCTCCCCCCCATAAATCTGGAGGTCGGAAAGGGGTGTGGCATAAAGGGGTATGGTGCCAATCGTGGAAATGGCGATGCTATCTGCGACAAATAACATCGCCAGAGTCCCCTTTACCTAAAATTAGCACCACACCCCTTTACACCATACCTTTTTCCTACCTCCAAAATAAAGCAACGCCGCTACGCCTGTCCTGGCAAGGCCTCGGGCTGCGCATGGGCAGACTCCCCGGGCAGTCCCGCCCAGCCTCAGCAGGTCTCCCGAGTGGTCTCAGCTGGCCTCCACAGGCTTCCCGAGCAGTCCAGGGCGGTCTCAACTCCCCACCCCTGGGGCGCGGAGCGCTCCAGGGGTACCGCCTGGGCCGCCTCTGGTGGCGCCTCTGTGGCGCTCCGCGCCCCAGGGCTGGGGAGTTGAGACCGCCCTGGACTGCTCGGCAAGCCTGTCGAGGCCAGCTGGGACCACTCGGGAGTCTGCCGAGGCCGGGCGGGGCTGCCTGGAGAATCTGCCTGGGCGCAGCCCGAGGCCTTGCCAGCGATTGGCCCGTGGTGCCCCACGCCCCCTGCAGCAGCGCCTGGCCGGACCGCCCCCTCCCCCTTGGCATCGCTCGAACGTGTGCATTTCCCCTTCGGCGAGGACCATCGAGGAGCATCCTTGATCATTTGGCGAAAAAGCCACGCACGAAACCGAACAAAAACACAGGGAATGGACGTCCGAGCGATGGCCAGCCCCCGCCCCGGGGGGTCCCTCTCGAGGTGCGGCGCGCAGCCGCCTCGGCGCGGGCCTCGCGCGGTGGTGGGGCCTCGCGCGCGGCCGCCTCGCCCTCGGCGCCGCGCCGGCGGGGGCCCTCGCCTTTTTTTCGGGGGCCCTCTCGTCGGGCGCCGCCGCTGGCGTCGTGAGCTGTTTTTTCACGGCCACCGCTGTGGAGCAGTGTCGAAGCGTCTGGGCTTGCCTGTAGGCCCACCAAGGATCCTCTAAGAACTTTGTGTGGTCTGCACGACATGTTCTTAGAGAACATTTCTGGCTGAGACTGTTCTGTTTGAACACATCGGCTTCATGTTCTAAGAACGCTTGTGGTGTTCCTATAGAGCATTCTTGTGTTCGGCGAACGTATCCTGGTAGGCCTACAGGAATCCTGGGACGGTCGGTCCCCTGCTCAACACTGTGGCTCAGGGCGGCGGACCCACGGTTGTGCTCTGCTGGGCGCCGTCGGCTCCTCGCACAGCAGAGCGCTGCCACGGTCAGCCGTCACTGGCCTGCAGTGGGGGTGGCGAGAGGCGGGCTCACTTCGGCAGGCCCAGAGGTCCGCGCGTTGTCTTTCTGTGGTGCGACATTTCGGTTCATGTCGGAATGGCCGCGGGGGGTTGCCACGGGGATAGGGAGGTTTCAAGCGAATGCGAATGTGGGCCATAGTTGGCGTGAGTTAACCTATAAGTTAGTTGGCTGCCATTGCCCCAAGTGGCTGGGATGGGTTCGATAACTCCGCTGGGTGGGCGCAGTCCACGCAGGCAAGATCTTGAGCCACTTAGGGAACTTCTGATCCACGGATGAGCTCTCTTGGGACATGTATACGCCACCTTCGCTTCCACGTATCATGTCCCTATCCCCCTAGCAACCCCCACGGTCATCCAAGTGGGGCCCGTTTTCGGGCCCTGGGACCTTCAGGCACGGATCTGGGACGCAGAGCTGGCCCCGTGGGAAGGGGTCGGGACCTCTGGAGCCGCGCATTGGGAAGATCGCATCATCGGATGTCTGGGGAGATGCGGGGCATCTCCGCCCGGCGCGGGCGTCGTGCGAGCCGCGCTCCTTGTCGGCGGGGCGTGAGGCGTTCCTCCCCTCCGCCTCGCCACCCTTCTCGCCTGGGCTCTGGGCTCCTGCTATCTTCCTATCCTTCCATCCCGCTCCTCTTCCTCGCCTCCTTTTCGTCCGCCCTCCCTCCCTCGGGTCTCCCCCTCCCCCTCTTCGCATCCTTCCGCCCGTCCCTCCCTGCGTCCCTCCTCCATTCCCCGCCCTAACTCCCTCCTCCTCGTGTGCTGCAAGGGCCTGGTTCGATTCCCGTCCCAACTGGGTTGTGGACGCTGTCCGTGCCAAACTCACCGTCAGCACGCACGTGGCCCTACCACGTTGATGCATGTCCCGGCGGATCCGGGGCGAGAGGACATGAAGCACTTGCAGGGCAGACCACAGCATCGTGTGGAGCGGCGCGAGAAGTATTGGCAGAAGGTGTCCCATGTGGATGTGCGACTCATGGACGCGTCGCGGCATCCTGCCCGAGCCGTGCGCCGTTACGAGCAGTGCGTGTTCGTGGCGCTGTACCTGTTCTCTCTGACAACGCGCTCCATTGTTTGAGCGCACCTTGAAGGTGGGTGTTATCGGTGTGCCCTCCCCAGAAGTGCCTTCTACCATAGCCTATATCGTGTCTCTTGGGCTCGAGGGCGGTGACTGCCCAGGACTTGGTTGCCGATGTTGCCGCGTGCATTCGGCTTCTTTCGATGCGTTTCCGTTCTGCCCAAGGGGATTTGTCTGGCTCAAGTCGCAGGCCACGTATGTCTTGCACTAAGGGCACTTCGAGCTTAAGCTATGTTCGGCGTCCTTCCCTGCTCTTGGTGTATGTCTCGAAGGTCGTTCGATTGGTATCGTATTCTTGGCTATGGCGAAGTCGCTCCACCACGTTGCCCACCATACCTTGATTCGACGAGCTTTGGTTTTTGGTTTCAACGCCTGGTCATCAACGGTCCTCGTGGCTTTTCCATCGTTGCCCGTGCGTCATCGTTTGGGGATACGTTCCAGGTGTGCACGTATCGTCTTGCCACTTTCGTGGCGGGCTGCGCGTCCGAGCCACTGATGCGTTGGATGGTCGCCGAGGGAGTGCACCGTGCTGCGGAGTTTCATCACTACGTCCTTGTGTGCCCAGTGGCAGGTCAAGTCCAGGCTCTGGGTAACGAGGCCGACAAGTTCTGCGGGCGAACGGGACCTCTTGTCGCTAACACGCGCTACTGGACCAGATTCGTGGCCATGCTCACCTTCTCTTCCGATCCTAAGCTGGTGTTCAAGGTCCCACCAGATGTGGTGAGTGATGTTCTTGCTGCTGTCCCTCATCTTGCATGAGCACCTCGACAAGACTCTGAATCTCTGTGTGGAGTTCACGGTGAGAGTTCGCCGTGTTCTCAACAAAATTGTGTCCGAGCTGGTCGGCTTCGTTGTTTGGTCAATATTTGTTAAGGAGGCCAAGCCTGGCCCCCCCCCCCCGCACCATGTCGGCCGACTCGTCAATTCTGGTATGGGTAGTGCTGCCCTCTTTGAGGAACTTACATCAGTATTCACAGCGATGCTAAATTCAGGGGCTGCCATGAGATTTTCTGCCGTATGGTCCAGGCCTTGCCGATGGGTGTCCATGGACCTGCCCCTCGCATACAACGTGCGGGAACTTCTACAACTGCGCGATTCGACATTATTACCATGCTGCTTGTCTGCGTATTTCGCAATTATCAGGACGTCTTTGTCTTGCCTCCGCTGTCATAATACTCCACCTCGTGCTTTCGTGTGCTGGCCAGTGACAGGCTATTGGTTCGGCTTTGCGGACTACAGCACGGAATGCGGTGCGTGCAGCAGCAGCTGTGGTTGTAGCATCGTTGCTCAGATTCGGGTCGCCGTTCGTGTCCCCGACTTAGTGGGTAATTCCATTGGCGACCGTCTGGTGTTTGCTCCCAGCAATGTTGCGCACTCAGTTTCGCATTCTGCTTTGTGTTGGACCTGGTTTCAGGCCTGTCAGCGACATGAGCACATGTCTCAGCTTGATCACCTGTCGACTTCTCTGTCCCGTGCTCCCTGCTTTACTGGTGAGAGGTCTGCTACACTAAGTGCCTTCCCCCTCTGCTTCTCATGCAGCCCCTCCCTCCGGGGGCATCTGTGTTTTGAGCGTGATAGGGGCAGCGCCCCTCCAGGGACGTCTCCAGCATCATGATGGAGCGATACGCGCTTACCGCCAGCACCCTGAACACCCCCAGGGTGCGAGCGGGCTTGTGCGTGACCCTGCTCACCTTCTTCTTCCCCCTTTCCCCATGGAGCTTTCTCTCGACTGGGTTCTCTCAGGTCCTTCCCCTCGCTCTGCCCCCTGCCTCCCTCAACCCTAGCCACGGTCCTCCTGCGCTGAAGCAATGACTTGCGGTCCGCCTTGCGCGATCAATCAGTACTTCCCACGCCCTCCTCCTCCTCGTCCTCCTCTGGGCTCCTGAGGGTTCGGGAGCCCCTAACGGCAAACAACACCGGTCACCGATTCTCGAACCTCTTTCTCTTCTCTCTCCGCCCCCTTTTGTCTCTGCCTGGTCGTGCCCACACTCCTGGGGTCCGCCTCGCAGACACAGGGCAGCGCGCCAGCTGCGCCAACGCTCCAGGGAGTAGGCCTGGCTCGGAAAAAGGGCCCACTCTGCGCCCCGTCGCTGCTGCTCCTCCACGCCCTCTACGTCCTCCACTTTTTGATTCGCCCTCTCCACCTCTTCCACATCATCCACACAGCATGTGTATCAAGTGAGAGATTTGCCTGCCAGCGGGTGCCCCACCGCGGTGTCTTATCGCCCGATGGCCCCAGGGACCCACGGAAACTCTTGGGCACCTTGGGACCCTCAAGCGTAGAGGAAGAAGATGCCCAGAGATTTCTTATAGCAAGAGGTGTCCACTGTATCCTCCCCCCTCCCAGGGGGCCAGGGCCTCAGCCCTGCTGTTGCTGCTGCTGGTGTTCATGAGCCTCATTCCTCCTCCTCATCTCCTCCTCCTTCTCCTCCTCCTCCTCCTCATTCTCCTCCTCCTCCTCCTCCTCCTCCTCCTCTTCCGAATCCTCCGCCTCCTCCTCCTCCGCCTCCTCCTCTTCCTCATTCTCTTTATCCTCCTCCGCCTCCTCCTCCTCCACCTCCTCCTCTCGGGTGCGGGTCGAGGTGAGGATCAAAGATGGGTCTTTCTGCCATATGTTGGCCCCGTTTTGAGGCCCCTGGGGGAGGCCTGATACACTCTGGGGAACTTTAGGGACAATGGGGACCTTCTGGAGAGACCTGGCTTGGGCGGGCACTGGTCGCGATGACCACGGAGCTGGCAATCACTGCCACGCCCTCTCCAAGGGCCTCAATCGTCTAGAACGCAAGCAATATAGCATGTTTGTGTCGCGTCGACGTGGGTGCGACCCCAGGGCGGACGATCATGGTTGAGTGCCGCCAATTGCCCAGGATCGGACAATATGGAGCGGTCTGGCGATCTCAAGGCCTCCGATCATTCAAGATTTAACGAGCCACTTGGTTTCAGAAACAAGCGCCCGGGTCGTGACGACACTGGTGGACACGGCGATGAAGGGCCCGCTGGTGCGGTCGAATGCACCAGCGATGCGGCCCATGTCCGGGCGCGGGCATCCAGCCGTTTTAGCCCGCTCGGGCCTCTAGCAGCTTGCCTGGCCGCAGCTTGCCCATGTCCATGACCGGCGCCTGGGAGATCAACTTTCTGGTACCGGGTCAGGCAGTGGATGTGGACATAGTAAGTCGGGCCCCTTGGGGGGGGGCGGCCAAACATTCATGGCCTCCTAAATGAGATCCAAATAGGTGGGATTGACGATCAGGCCGCATCGGCAATGCATCGGCGATGCGGCTCGATCTGGAGCCCGATCTTCTCCACGCCGACGGCGCCGATGCGTTGCCGAAGTTGCTGATGCATCGCCGACGTATCGGCGATGCACTGGCGATGCCGCACGATCCTCGGACCCCATCTACTCGGGCCCCATTTGGTAGGCTCCGAAACATATGCATATCCAAGGGTCAGCCACACGCGCAGAGGGCTGTAGGGGGAGGGGGGAGGGCTTCTTAGAAGCACCCTGCTTCTTCAGGGGCGGCCGCGAACCGGTCGGTTCGGTTACGTCGGTGGGTGTCGGTTGGAATCGATCGGTTCGGTCGGTTCGGTTGTTGCGGAGTCCTTGCGTCGTCGCGTCCTTTTCGGTTACTTCGGTTGATTCGGTTTCGCCGCGGGTGCTTCGTACCGTCCCGGGGGATCGAATCCACCAGTTTCCAATTCGGCTTCGCTGCCAACGGATTCGCGCCGATCCGACCCCGCTTAGCCTTTCCCGTTGAAAAAAAGAGGAGTGGAGGAGGAGGAGGAGGAAGAGGAGGAGGAGGACGACGACGAGCAGCAGCAGGAGCAGGAGCAAGGAGGGAGGAGGGTTACCGGACGAGGGAGCTTGGGCGAGAAAAAGGGCCCTTCAGGGCCGCCCTGGGACGGCCGAAAGGGCAGTGGAGACGCCCAAATCGCACGCCTAAGCGGTTCAAACATATTTTGGGGCTCCCCACGGGCTTGCGGCGGGCGTTCGGGACAAGGGAGGGGGGAGAGAGCAGGGAGGAATGAGCAACGAGGAGGACGGAGGGTGGACCCGACGTCGTCGGGCGCCGAAGGGAGCCCCAGACTGCTCGACCCCTTTTCCTCGCGCGTGCGTCCATTTTTTCCTCCGTTGCCCCAGGGTCTGGAAATGGCCTCCCGAGGCCGCCGCCGCCGCCGCCCTGCCATCGTCGTTGTCGCGCTGATGCCGCGCTGCTGCCGCGCTGCTGCGGCCCATGTTCTTTGGACCCCCTGCAGGAGCCCGCGGGGGGCGCTCGGGACGAGGGAGCCCCGGCGGGAAAGGGGGCCTCCAGGGCAGCCTGGTGACGGCCGAGAGGGCGGTGGGAAAGCCCGCATCCCATTCCTGGGCGGTGCAAACATGTTTTTGGGGGCTGCCAGGGGGCTTGCGGGCGGTCCTCGGGACGAGGGGGCCTGGGGGCCTCGGGGCCGTCCGGGGACGGCCACAAGTGCGGCTGAAGTGCCAGACATGCACCTGCAAACGATTCAAACATCTTTTCGGGGCCCCCAGGGGTCTGCCGGCGGCCCTCGGGACGAGGGAGCCCCCGGCGGGAAAGGGGAGCTCGAGGTCTGCCCGGGGAGCTCGAGGGTGGTGGAACAGCCCGGATCGCATTCCTGAGCGGCTCGAACATTCGGGGGTGGACAGGACCCCCAACAGTGACACGTCGATTAGTGAATTGTCCGTTTTCGGTTCTCGAGATGGCGCCCCATCCCCGAAAGGGGGTCTGTCCATCCCCGAAACATGTTTTTGGGGGCTGCCAGGGGCTTGCACGGGGGGCCCTCGGGACCAGGGGGCCTCCCGGGCCGCCCGGCCAAGACCGACAGGGCGGTGGCAATGCCCGGGTCGCATCCCTGGGCGGTTCAAGCATGTTCTTTGGGCACCTTGGGGCCCGCGGGGGTCCCCGGCGGGAAAGGAGAGAGCATGTTACGCATAGAATGAAGTCAATGGAAATAAATTGCAGTGGATCCGTGAGTGGATCAATCTTGATGAGGCTATGACGCCTCATCAAGATTATGGGGACAGCCGAAAGGATTATGGAAATGCGCGAATCGCATTTCCACCAGGCGCCTCGGCGGGAATGGGGGTTTCCGGGGCCGCCCCGGGGGCGGTTGAAGGGGTCTTGGAAAACCCCGAATCACATTCCCGGGCGATCCAAACATGTTTTTGGGGGCCCCGGGGGGCCTGCGGGAATCCCACGGCACGAGGCGGCCTCGGCGGGAAAGGGTGCCTCTGGAGCTGCCCGGGAACGGCCGAAAAGGCTACGGAGAAGCCCGAATCGCATTCCTGGACGGTTCAGAAATACGTTTTGGGCCTCCAGGGGCTTGCGGTAGCCTTCGGGAGAAGCGGGTGCCTACGGGGAGAAGGGGGCCCGGTTGCTTCAAGAGTATTTTCTTCGGGCCCCTCTGGGCCAGATGGCCCTGGGAGTGGCAGGTCACCACCCACCAAACCACCCCAACCCAACCCGAAGGCTCAGATTTACCCTCGATTTCCAGGGGGGGGGTCGGGAAACATCGAAAAAACACATGTGGAACCCTTACCCCCCCCCAACCCGAAATTCGGGTCTTCGGGTTGGGTTGGGGTGGTCTGGTAGGTAGTCAGCAGGAGGAAGCCCTTGGACCCATCCTTCGACCTCAGGCTTGACTTGGCCACGAGAGTTCCTCGGAACCACGGGAGGCACTTGCGCAGTTCA